TGTGGTNTATGTAGTATATATATATATATATGTGTGTGTGTGTGTGTGTGTCTATATATTTATATATGTAGTACTTATATATTGTAGTATTTATTCTATTGTTGTATTCATGTTCTATGTATGTATATACATATATATATATATATATATATATGTTATGAATGTATATATATATATTTATATTTATATATATATATATATATTCATAAATATATATATATGTATATAGAGATATTTATATTTATATATGTATACTTATATTTGTAAGTATTTATTCATTTATGTATTCATGTATTACGTATGTATATATATATATATGTATGAATATATACATATATATATATATATATAAACCCTGTTTGTTACGTTATTCATTCCGTTTCATCTGCGATAAACAAAAGTCCTAGGCCTGAAATTATAATCTTGTGCGTTATTGTAAACTGCCTATTTTACTATATTAAGCAGTCATGAATATTGCCTTATATGGAACAGGCGCCAAAGCGGCGGCCACTTTCAAGTGTCTCGACTCACGCATGCTGTGGGCGTCAGTGCGATCGTTTCCGTTTGACCGTAAATTGGTGGCCCAAAGTACCGAACTGTGTGGATACGAAGAATCGCCAGACTACAAGCGAACCGTAAGTACTGGGACAATTATCCAGGAACGAGCCACTGTGACCATCTATTTACAGATAGACATGCATGTGGCGAGGTCTTCGAGCAGTCTGTGTAGAATGCATAGGAGCATGCAATGAAGTACACACAATAGAAATGCCCTCTCGGTCCCAGTTTCATGTATTGGGTTGAGTATAACATTGCAGCGGATATAGATTCATGCTAGCACAGACATCCATACTCAGACGAATGTGAAAGCGGATGCTTGTCTTTCCTCGTCATGTATACATCCGTACGCATATATATATACAAAGGCCTATCATTGCTATTCATATATACATCCGCACCAGATATGACAGCGCTTGAACTTCCAATGTACACTGCCGTGTGATGTCTGTGCATATCATAGTCACGCTCATCTGCCCCACTGGACTCTATATGCTACCCCACTTCACCTGGTCGCGTTACCATCCCTTCACACACCCTACCCTATCTTCACCTCCCCTATCTCTACCTACAGGACGCCCTCTCCGCCGTGTACGATCCGGCGTTCGTACTCCCCACCGTCTACCAAGCACTGCTGTCCAGTGATGACGTCGACATTCGTAAACTCATTGAGAGTCATGTGGTTGGCTACTGTGTGTCGTCACTGTCGTCACGTGACGTGCACGTGCGCATTGCGGGGTCGGCAGTCCTGCGACATCTGTTTGACAACCATTTCAAACACTCGAGTTTCCGCGAACAGAGCCAGGTGCAGTACCTGCTGAGTGTGTTCAGGTGAGTAAATGTATATATGTATATATATATACGTATATATATATATATATATAAATGAACAGTAGAGAACATACACATATAGATGTACATTGCATTACCTCACTCATAAAAAGTTCATAGACGCACTTTCAAATACTTGCACATGCTTATACCATTGCTTACATAATCAACGTTCAATTATACTACATCCGCTACACTTCCCATCCCCGCATCTCTCCACTTGTTGCCACAACCACATCCACACACCTACCTTCCTTAATCACTACAGACGTGGGAGGATCCACCACACATCTGTTCGTTCTTATTGCGTTTCTATCACGCCACTCATCTCTCCTTTCTTATTGTGTTACGACCACGCCAATGCAGAGACGGCATCGAAAGCAACGATCAACGAGTGCCTACTATCATGACCGTGTTTGTGAGCGAAGCTCTGCTGGTACTCATTGCCCCTGACCATGCTATGTAAGTACGGGAGCGATGTATACATGGCAGTATGATAGTGTGATAGTAGGAAAGTATGATAGTAGAATGGTATGGATGGAATGATGGTATGGTGGTATGGTAGTTTATATTGTACTGTGACGTGTGTGTGTGTGTGTGTGTGTGTGCGTGTTTATGTGTGCATATCAGGCATAAACAATCGTACACATGCTCTCATATAGAATTCTATAAAACCTATGCACGCGCAAGAGGCCAAGTGCCTATTCGCTTTACGCTTTCATATCGTTCACCGACAATTTATGACAGTTTTCCAAAACCTTAAAACCCCAAAACCCTAAACCCTTGCTCATATGGTCTCTCATATATCCACAGGTATGCAACAGTGAATAAATTCATTCTGCAAAGACCCTATCTGCCCCTGGATGACGTCCCCTTGTTCTACAACATGCTTCTTAGGTACGTTAGCGTGTGTACATATGCTCACTCTGATATGCTGTACACGTTGTCGTATACGTATGTATATATATATAGTACACTCCAGAAACACTCATACTCTACCCATATCCTGCCATTCAGTGGTGATGACACAAGCATAGCACAACAGAACTGGATGCTGCGGTGGGTGACATTTGGTTTGGTAGATGAATCCGATTGGGCGCTGTACAAAAGACGTCACGTGGGCGAATTGCTGCTGAGGTGTGTGTGTGTGATTGTGTATATATGTGTGTGTGTGTGATTGTGTATGTGTGTGTGTGTATGTGTGCTTGTGTGTGTGTTCGTGTGTGTTGTATCCTTGACCTAGTCTGTGTGTATATGAAGTACCGTATAACCCACGTCCGTAGAAATCATTCTGAACGTAAATAACCCTACCATGCACTATATATCATACCACTTAGTCATTACAACCCATCCTACCCTATCCTATACTAGTCAATATAACCCATACTATCATATCCTATCCTATAACATTCATTATAAAACATCCTATCCTATAACAGTTATTATAAAACATCCTATCCTATCCTATCCTATCCTATTGTCCGTAGTATGAGCGAGTCCCGACTCAGCGACAAAACCACACGCCAGTTGGTGTCCGAGTTCTTCCTCGCAGCGGTGCACATCCCTGGCGTAGCCAATGAGCTGTTCCGAAGCGCAGGCCTAGTCACGTGGTTGTTCACTCGTGCTAGTCTGAGTGCGTTTGATTTGGCACCCATACACCGACCGGGTGTACCGTTTGATATGCCCACGTACTGTCGTAGTGAGGCTGGCGATGAGTTTGAAGACACACTGCAGGTGCGTTGTACTTGAGTTGCCGACTATATGTGAGTGTGAATGTATATGTATATGTAAATGCATATTTATATATATATATACATATATATATATATATATAGTGAACGGTAGGCTCCCCTGCGCGTCTAGGCTCATCCGCACACTTCTTCTACTTCCGCATGTTCTGCAGATGGCCGTGTTGCTATGGCAACGTATCGACGCACGCTCACGGCAGTGGCCGTTGGTACGCGAGACTTATCAGGCGTTGCTGGAGAGGGCTTTCCGATGGATCAACGTTAATAGTATGTCTTTGCATATATACTGAAGTCACTACATGTGCTCTGTATCTACACACTGAATTACTATATATACTCTGCATCTACACATTGGATATGTTGTGGTTTGTATATAGGTATATTGTTGTGTACATGTAGGTACATTGTGGACAACCTACGATATTCGGGCTCAGCTGGGTGAGTCATGCATGCCGTTTGTTTCGTAAGGGTGTACCATCCTTACAACAAGTCGCGAATTGGTGCCCACAGACCTGTCTACCGATGTTACTAGTGAGAATGGGTTAAACGGCTAGTACAAGTGCTCTATCGTGTATACCTCCATTTAGCTGTGCGCACACACCTGTTGTGTATGTGACACTGAGATGCGCCTGTGTCGGGGCTGTACGCATCTGCCATTCATAATGCAGTAAACGGTTAGTAACTACTTGACATGTCTCTCAGTACTGGTTTGGTATCACTTATCTTGTTGTCCATATCAGGTAGTGTATGTTTAAATGTATTACCTATATACATCATGTAGTGTACGTTTAAATGTGTTATTTATGTACATCATGTAGTGTATGCTTCTTTGATATATCTATCCGTATACCTAATGTGATGTATGGTTTCTTCCTCATATCTACAGGCCAGGCCATGGGTGAGGGCGAATGCGTAAACCGTTGCACAATACTCTTAGTCGCACTCGCACACCTCACAGACAACGAAGATATACAACCACACACGCACACACACACAAAGACCAGCACTCTCTCGGATACACACACCTCCACACAGAAGACACACACACACAACACCGTACACACGCGAACGAAGGACCCCGGCGGTACACCGGCACGCCCATCGGCACTCGACGCCACCACTCCCAGTCCAATCTCCATAAAGCCATCGGTGATGGAGAGCTTTGTACGCACGTGTATACTGTTTGGGGTAGTGCAACCACACACACAGAGTGGTGGGGAACGGGTGGACTACACCCACGCACCGAACATGCACAGGCTCGTGCGGGTGGTGTGTGTGGCGGCGCTCGATAATTGCCCACTTTTGAGTGGTGGTGGGGGGTCTAGTGGTATCCGGAATGCCGAAATCGAGTCCGTTATTTGGCTCATCCAGTTCTGTGTGTCCGCGTTGAGTGTGGGCGAAGACATTTCATTGAACAGTGGTAGGAGTGCGCTCACGCTCGCGACCAATGAAAGGGCGAGATCTATAAATAGAATGTCTGGGTCTATTGATTTCCTGGTGGAATCTGTGCTGGGGCTGGTGGCGCGCAGAGGGGCGATGGGGCGAGCGATCCGATTGTCACTGACTGACATTGAGACGGGACCTTCTAAGATGGTATGTGAGGGTTGCAGACGCTAGTGTGGGTGGGTGGGTGAGTAAGTGTGTTGTATGTAATTCGGGGAGTATGCGTGTGTGATTAATGCGCTGCATTTTTTGGTACGTGTGCGCTTTGTGTGTGTGTGTGTGTATATATGTATGTATGTATGTGTATTTTATATTTTATATTTATAAATTTATATATATATATATATATATATAATGTGTGTGTGTGTGTGTATAGAATATATGTATATATATATATAGTCTATGAGTGTGTGTAGTAATATATATATATAT